GTGTGCGTGCGTGCGTGTGTGTCTGTGTGTGTGTGTGTGTGTTTTTCAAACCGTCCCTCCTCGTCCTCCTCGACTCGTGGCCGACACTTTCGAACCGCGTCGGGTTGCGTCGCCCTCAAGCATCGACCTGCTCGTGACGCGGGGCCCCTCAGGTGTTGGGGGGGCCCCTCAGGTGCGGAGGAGGCAGGCTGTGTGTGTGTGTGTGTGTGTGTGCTTCATTTTTAGTGGGAGCCTTTGTGTCGCTTCTGTGAATTAGAAGAAGTATCCACCGAGAGGGGAGGGGTTAAAACGGTCTTTTAAAGAGTTTTAATTGCCTTTATTGAGGCTGCGTATATTAAGGCAACGACTTGGGCTCTTAGGATGAGCGACCCCCCCCTCTCCACCTCCCCCCCTTGAAGCTGGTCGGTGGTGCACGTCTGGTCGGATTTGCTTGTGGTGGTGTCCATGTGGAAGACAATCCCTCTGGCAGGTCAGATAAAGCCCCCGAAACACTGAGCACCCAAACCCTCATTGCAGAGACCGCTGCTGTTTTGTTGCTGGTGGGGCCCAATCAACCCCCCCCCCCTCTGCAATTCTGTTCAAATGAGAATTGAATTTCTCTTTTTTTCCAAAGTGTTTATGTTATCGTTTGTAAATCTTACCAGAAGTGGACCGTGAGGCACACGGGGGGGGGGTGGGGGGACTGCTGCACACGTTTAAATGAAGTATTTACAGATAATTCCAACTGTCAAATACTCGCGCCCGATGACACAGTGCAGAGTGCTGACGCTCACAACCGCCAAACTCCCAGCGCCCTCCTCGTTAGGCAGGCGGGTTTGATTTCAGGTACGAGAAGGTAAAAGGGGAGGAGGATGAAAACCAAAAGAGGGGGCTGCCGGGGGGTCACGGCTTTTGAAAAAGGAAAAACGATCCTGTGTGGCGTCCGGGAGCTCGAAAGGGCCCCAGACAGTGAGGTGGAATAAAGACATTATAGAGCACGCCGTCCCTGATGGACACGTCTGCGAGGGAGACGTCTGTGGACAGCCTGCTGCTTTCACCACTAAAAGAGGCCGTGTTGATCTTTCTAACAGGACTCTAATACACTTGCCGTGCGTTGTGACTTCTCTAATGGCTCATGAAGCATTCGTAGATCCGCTATAAGCCACCAAGACGAGCAAATGAGTGCGGAAAGATCCCCTTTTCTGTGGTTTAATGTTCATAAACCATCAACTAATGCTTAGTAAGTTGTTAATAAACAGATATCGGTGGAGATTCGCCAAGTTGTTCTTTTTTATTAGAAAGGGGCGGAACTGATCCAAGATAAATCCTTTTTCAAAATAATGTTATTTGAAAATGCTCAGGTGAAAATTTGCACCACACAACAAGCATCAACATTAGGAACATTGTTTGTTTTTTCTTTTGTAAAAGCTTAGATCATAACCCATTCATATCCATCCTTTTGCCACAATAATAGTTGTTGGTTTGTCAGCCGGAGGGGGGGGGGGGGGGTCACGCGTTAATAGTAATGGCGCTTCTCGTGGCCTGCGGGCTGGGAAATGGTGTGAGGGAGCGATAATGGACTCGTGAGTCGTGACCTCTGCATGGAAGCAATTTGAGGGGGGAAACAGTTGAAAGTGGCGTAAAAGACAAATTAACCGTTGGACGGAAACGAGATACGTCCGTTAGAAAGGCGCGTTTGGACGCGTGGGCCCGTCGGTCGCTGCAGGGATATCAGAGATGCACACGGACACAACAACGCGATTCATGCTCACCAAAAAAAAAACAACTCCCATTAATCCGGACCACGGAAACAAAAACAGCTCTGTTCGTTTTCCATCTGCGTCCCAACTTTACATCTTAAACCTCCCCGATTCTCTCCAATCAGGAGAAACCAGCAGAAATAAACTAAAAATATGTATTTATTGTTGCTCTGGTTTTTGTTTAATAGTCTGTTTCGTCTCACACGTCTGTTGTTCGTTATAAGTTAGTTACTTTCGTTTTCACTTAAAGGTGATTGTAACCAGCACGAGCGTTTAAATTTAGCGGAACACCGGGAGAAAAAGGAGAAAAGGTCAGTCATAACATGTTATTCCCATTATTCTTATTATTTTTATTATCGCTGTAATTTGTATTAATGTTTCTGTTATTTAAAGTTATTCATTTTATTGGGTAGGCAAAATATACATATTCCCTTAGTCCAGTATTTTATTTATTATTATTTTCATTATTATTATTATTAATAATAATAATAATTCTGTTGCTAAAATAAGCAAATCTCTCTAATTAGTCTTCTATTTTATTTCGTATTGGTATTTGGTATGTTATTCCATTTCTTATTATAATAGAAGCGGGCCACACATCTTCACCCGTCGAATTTGAATGACATTATTTTAACGCTTCATTTATCATGCATTATTTCCTTTATTTATTTACACCAGAGTTTCCGTTCTCAGGTCGGTTTATGTGGTTCTTTCTTTTGTCTCGATCATTTTCAGCATCAGCATCATCATCATCATCAGAGAGCTCGTTGCAGCGTTGTGGTGAATAAATAAAGCGATATGAGAGAGGAAACTCAGGCCGAGGCATTATTTTGGTTTCCGTAAAGAGATATTTAATTTAGCTTTGTGATAAGAACAAAGTGATCAGACTTGTACTTATTTCTATGTGTAACGAGGCCGTGTCCTCCCGACGCGCTGCCTTCGTTTGTCTGACGAATTTAAGTGAAATATTTCATGAAAAAATCATTTGCATCCAGCTGTTGTTCAGGAAAAAACGTAACAACAGAGAAGAAGCAATTATTCCTCACTTTGTCAAATGAGGGCAATCCAAGACGCCGACATCTAATTTAACGCGACACTTCTTTTATAATTACTTTTTTAACGTTGGCTTTCTCTCTTTTTCTCTTCACCACACAGCCGCGCTGTTTGCACAAATGACGCCTTTTTTTGCCCAAATACTGCCTCTGCTTTTCTCAAACACGTCTGAACCAAATCCTTTGAGAGGTCTCGCTGCCACGTTACATCCCCAAAGATGATCGAAAGATGCGCTATAATATCTATTTTCTTTTTTTTTTTCAAGCACGAAAATGTATTTTTATATTTATGTAAACCTTTACATATTTTTTCTCCCAAGGCCCATGATTTAAAATCGCCTGATGCAAGACAGATGACCCTTCAACAATTCTGCTGACCTGCTTGACTTATTGAATCTTTTTTGTGCGGTAGTTGGATACTTGAGATCACAGAAGGGTCACTTTCTATAAACCGGTCTGCTCCCTGGATGTGGAACAAATAAGCGTGTTATTCTTTTCTTTCTTTTGAGGGGGTCACTCAGCCACACACACACACACACACACACACACACACACACACACACACACACACACACACACACACACAGTCCACCTACCTCTGAGATAAATGTGTTCTCAATAACTTCCAATCGTTATCATGTTTGACACGCACAGCTTTGAGGGACATGCAAATAAAAAATCCACACGAATTAATGTATTTCTGGGATCAATATTTAATACCGAGCGCACACAGATAGAAATGTGAAAGGTAGATTGTGTCCACGCGACGCGGTGCGCGCAGACGGTTCCCCGCCGGGCTCCAATAACTCAGAACTGCACAACGATGAGATGGAACAAAACGCGCACGACGCGCTCAGTCAACACAACATTTCTTTAAATGAATGCGGATGATTTTCACTTCCGATCCAATGACAAAGTTCTCAAGATGAAACTTCTCCTGTTTTCAGGTAATTACAATATTTAGACACGGCGGGGAAATTATTGCTATTTCATTTACGATGACTTATTTAAGTAAAAAAATGGTTTTCATTTTCGACTTCACTGGATTTCGGCTGGGATGAATTAAAAATGAACTACGATACTCGCAGTTTAAGAGGAGCTGGTGTAGCAACAAAAAACACAAATAAATATAAATAAACTACCCTACGACTTAAATAGCCTCCAGGAGCTTGATGTTGGTTTATTCCCCCAAAAAACATTACAGAAAACCCGTTGACACTCTGGAATTTACAGCCTGCTTGTGAGAAACAAAGCTTTTGAATTGGGTTGTAACGCCATTATTTCAAAACCACTAACGAGGTCATTGGCGATAAAACTAAATAAACTGTAAGAAACAACCTGTTGTGTTTAATAAGCTCTCTTTTATTCATCCCGACCCTTTCGGCCCTACGGGCAGCCCCCCCCCCCCCCCCCCCCCCCCCAGGAGCGCGCATTATTATCACACGCAATACGTTTGGTACCGAGGCAGCAGATCTGCAGGGTTCTTATAACCAGGCCGCGTGCAGCGCCTATTTGTGTTGCTAATGTTTCACTGTGACTGCGAAGTTGTGTGATTTCTTCCTCCCCAAAGTCAGCTCAAGATTTCAAGACTGAACTATGACCTTTTTTCATTCTAGCGATCGCTCAATGCTTTTTCCATTGATCACTTTAATGCGTCACGAAATGCTCCCGGTGTCGATCGATGGGACAGCGCAGCTCGAGTCTGTATCCTGGAAAGCTGTACACGTGCACGCACACACGAGCACGCGGATGATCCGGATTTTTATAAAATGAAATAAAATAAACAGCATTTGTTATTATTTAATTACACGTTTTTTTTCCTGTATAAATATATCATTTGCATTTAGAAAATTGCTACATGTCGTTTGACCCTCGCCGACTCCCTTATGCATGCGTCACCTTGACCTGCGACGTGTGTCACGTGAGGGTCAAGGCCGTGCCGGGCGATCCCAATGCGTGCGCGTGCTTCACACGCGCGCCAGAAGCCTTGCTGGTCCGGAAGGGGCGTCCGGGAGGATTCGGGGGGGGGAAGAACGCGCAGTCCCCGCGGACTGTAGGGGAAGCGTCTAAAGAGACGCATCCGCGCTTCTCCGTGCGCGAGATCCGGCCCACCAAAGCGCTTCCATGGCTCGCGTTAGTTGTTTTTTTTTTCTGACGCCTCCTCCCCTCCCTCCCTCCCCCTGTCTCTCCTCCCTCCCTTCTCTCCTCCCTCTCACTCAGTCAGTGCGCCCGTTGGCACAGGGACGATCGAAAGTGACGCTCCGATTAGAAAGCCGCTCTTCTGGCGCCGGTGAACCTCGCTGCGGCTCTTCGGTCAGACGCCGGTGTTTTTGTTTCCTTTCCCCCCCCCCCCAGCGTCGTCTTGTTTCCTGTTGTTGTTTTATCTTTCTTTTCGTTGCGCTTTGGCCATGAGCTCAGAGGCGGGCAGACATGTGGCGCAGAGACGCGTTTTGACTAAAGCGTAAAAAAAAAGAGGAGGACGAGGAGAGACAAAAAAGAAAGAAAGGAAGAAGACCAAAGTAAATCTCCTCCACGGACGAGCATCCTCCGCGCGCCGTCTCCACCCCGCCGCCTCCTCGCGCACCAGGCGACTCGTGGATCTCCGGTCCGGTTCCCGCGCGGCTCGAGACCAGACTGAGCGGCCGTGACCCGCCGCGCGTTCCCCGGAGGAGTCGAAGCACAGCTCAGCCCTGGATCCAATACTCCTGCTCAATGGACAGAGCCTCCTCAGCGGCCAGCAGCGCTACCGACACGCCGTGAACCGTGAGTACCGGGCGGCCGCGCGGGTTCACCGACACGGTGTCAGAGGCATCGATCCACTAGTGGCAAACTTTTCCTTTGGAACGCCGCCACTGTCTCTTTAGTTAATAACCGTCATCATGTGAATGTGATAATTATTATGAATTAATATTAGTAATTGTTTTTTTATTTGATAATCGTTTTAATATTGACATGACATCGGTATTATAATAGTCGTTTTTTTTCAAAGTGAGCCATCCAATTTCATCAACTTTTTACAAATCGTTTTTTATTGAATTATCACGTGTCTCTTGACGCTGCAGTACAATGAAGGCTATATACTTATATATATATATATATATTATATATATATATATATTTTTTTTTACATTGCATTTTAAATATGCAGGTTGTAGTCAATAAAGTCCCATATACTTATATTAAAGAACATTGGGTATATTGGGAGTTCAATATTTCTGGAGATGTTTATCTCTTTTTTTAAAACTTTTCTGGAAGCTTGTCAGTGAGTGTTTTGATTTTTAAATTGGATTTATATGTACGCGTGTGTTTGTCTGTGTGTGTGTGTGTGTGTGTGTGTGTGTGTGTGTGTGTGTGTGTGTGTGTGTGTGTGTGTGTTTGATAAGGTCAAAAGAAATCCCTCCAGAAATAACTTACTTGTGTACGTGCCACCATCTTTTTTTACGACTCTTTCGGTGGAGCTGCCGGTAAACAGCTGATGAATAAAACATACCGAGGGGAGACCGAGAGGTGTCGAACACGCTGTTGGATTTCCGGCAGCTGCACGCGGGCCTCCTAACCTCCTCCACGCGCGGGACGCGAACACTCCTCCACCTCGGAGCACAACGCACGACACGAACATCATTTCCGAAACCCAATCCAAAGGCGCTGAAATTAAGAATAAAAAAAGCAGTCCTCCTGCAGAGCGCCACGTCCTGCGCGCAACGCTGCGTCCTGCGCCGAACGCGGTGGGATCAAACACGCGCAGTCGTGCGCGCGTGCATTGAATTGATTCCTTTTGAATGGCAGGTGTCGCGTGCAGGACGGACGAAACAAGTTTATTTATACGCAAATTGTTTAAATCTCCCTTCTGTGTTTCCGCTGCAGAGCGTCTCCACACTGGCGCAAAGCCTCTGACCTTTACGAGCAGGCCGCAAAACAGAGAAGCAGAAAACACCAGAACACACTAAATGTTTATTGTGGGTTTTTTTCCCCCCTTTGGTTCGCACAAACGACGCCGTTAATTTACCTGAACAGGTGAGACGGGGGATTTATATTATCTGGATTATTCACGCCAGAAACGAACGTTTTTTTAAATTTATTTCACGCGCATCCGTTAATTAGAATATGCCCCATGCAGCACATGCAAACCGTTTCTCCCCCAAAACCACTGTAGATAAATAAAAAAAACCAAATACAGGAGTGTTCTGGCGAGGAGGGGCGGGCTCCTTTCTGCGGCTCTGAGGGAGACCTGCTGCGGCCGCACAAGAGTTTCTGGCCCGTCTGGTTCAAGTTTGCTCACATGTTAGAAAAGAAAAAGTGCGCAGACTCCCTCGTTCCAAGGAGTTGGAGGAGTTGAAGGAGGGGTTGGGGGGGGGGGGGGGGTTAAAGAGTTTGCGTGTTAAAAAATAGTGGGAAACTCTTATTTTCTTTGGCCCTCACCGAGCTGCAGAGGCTTCGTGTTTGCGAGGCTTTTTTTTTTCATTCTGCCGCAAAGATGCACCAATTATTTATGGTCTACAATGTCCTGCTTATAAGAAAGACTTCATCTTAGCTTTGCTTTGCAATTAAAAAAATATATATAATTGATTTAATAATTTTCTCAGTTTGTGATGCTCAATTCCCTTTTTTCACATAATAATCATAAAGAAATCCACGATTAATGAGTCTCAATTTAATTCCCACTAATAAATGATGAGTGTGACTTTAAATCCACAGTTTGGGAGTGACCTCCTTCTCCTTCCTGTGTGAACTCGCCTATCTGTGCACACGTAATATGGGTGTGTCCCCGCTATTAAACTGAAGATTAGATAGTGGAGGAGCTAATGATGCCCCCCCCCCCCCCCCCTCACTGGTCTGTAATATCTCCCACTGGTCTGTCGCCCACTTCACGACAAAATAAAAGTATTTTTCCTTTTTTTATTAGCGTGACAGAGAGAACTGTGGGACCTGAGCTCTCTGTGGCTCCCACTCTGGAGAGGTGGGTGTGCGCTGTGGTGGATGGGTTTGGCAGTGTGTGTGTGTGTGTGTGTGTGTGTGCTCGTGCGTGTGTGTGCGTGTTATAGGAAAGTGAGCGTTCTTCTTCCTGCCTCGTAATGCCTGTATATCAGGATGCAATGCGACTTCAATGCAAAACTAAGTGTTGCACTGCGGCATGTCATGATGCTATTATTTTGTCGACACACACACACGCACACACACACACACACACACACACGCCCCTGTGCTCTTATTCGTCCCTGCTGTGTGTGTCTGTGCTCCGAGTCGGTGTGTGGTCCCTGGAAGTGTTAGAGCAGAGAGTCTGTGTAGCGTGCTGGCTGTGGTTTGTGTGGCTCAGTGTGTGTGTGTGTGTGTGTGTGTGTGTGTGTGTTTCAAGCTTGCATCCTGGAAGGGCGAGGCTATAAACGCTCGCTGTTAACTCTTCATCCCGTATTATCAAATGAGATGTTTACGAGGGAGCCAAACATGTTCGCCAGAAGGCCTTCGTCTCGCCCCCTCACTCTACTTATTTTCCCCTGTGTGTGTGTGTGTGTGTGTGTGTGTGTGTGTGTGTGTTTGAGCCGGAGGACCCTGCAGAATAGTTGTGACTGACTGAGTGTGTGTGTGTGTTTGAGCCGGAGGACCCTGCAGAATAGTTGTGACTGACTGAGTGTGTGTGTGTGTTTGTCACAAAGGTCTGTCTTCCCCTCACACCGACTCTCCCCACATCACAGCAGCACATCTGATGGCCATAAACGGCAAATTCCACAACAATGTAACCTTCCTAAACAACAATCATTCCTCATAAACAGCCACATGAAAAACGCTTGTGTTCTCCGTCGTTTTCCTTTCAGACGTTTAAAAACACAGCCCGTCTTTTTTTCTTCTTCTGTCTCCTAAAAGGGATGTTCCCATGCAACGGAACCGCGGCGTGAACCCGGTACCGCTGTGCCGGTCCTGTGTGAACCAAGTGCTGTGGCGTCCTTCAGTACTTTTGTTGCGTTTTTGTTGTACTATGATGCCTTTCAACTCAAGTTTTTATGCGTTTTTTGTCTCTAATTTATTGATTCATTTGAGTTTTTTTTTAACCCAACCTAACCGAGTTTTCTTGCATAAACTTTTCTTCTCCTGCAAGCACTACTGTTTTTAATCTAAATTAACTTAATTTGTGTTTTGTTGTTTAGTTTGAATCCATTTTAAGCCAAAAACCTTACCGAGAGGTCTTCCGACTCAATAAAAAGGACTTAAAAAAAATTCAATTCAATTTCAATTGTGTTGTTTGGTTCCAATTTGAGAAAAAAATCCGCGTAGCGCAGAGCGCAGCTCAGTGGGCGAGCATTCATCCGGCCTCGTCTCTCCGTCCCTCCCTGTGCACACAGGCAGCCTCCGTCAGGCCTTTTAATATCGCCCCCCCCCCCCATCCTGCCCGCTTTTATCTGTGCTGCAGAGCCAAGCATTAACCAATAGCTTGATAGCCCTGCTGTAAAACGGGAGGAACATCCGTCTACCTGGATCTTGTCCGGCCCAGGTCGTCCCCTGTTATCAGAGCTAATAATCTGTCTCTCTCTCTCACTCCGTGTGCTTTGCATGTCAAAGCCTCGGGCCGGCTGGTTAGCACGCGATTAGCGTAACGGTAAAAGCGACAGCGGCCTCTGCGGCTCCTGCAGAGCGAGAGGCCGCTCGGCGTTGTCTAGCTGCAGTACGTTGACCATCTTATTCCGGCTGTTTGGCTGATTGCCTTCGCTCTTCACCCAGCGCCGTCCCGCCTGCACTCCTCTCTCCTCTTAAATCTCAGAGTAAGTGTGTGTGAGAGGCGGCTCCCTGCTCGCAGTTTCCTGCACACTTATCTCAATGGGATTACATTGAAGTGTGTACGTGTGTGTGTGTGTGTGTGTGAAACAGGTTCCTTCTGTATGCCGTCGACTGGGGAGCGTTTTTGTTTACCTGTGGAATCCCTTAAATCTTTGCAGTTCCTAAGCGTCCTGCTCCGTTGGGGGCCGCACAATTAAAGACAGCTGGAATTGTTTTTCCGAACTTGAAAACAAAATAAGAGAGATGGAGATAAAAAAAGGAACCAAAGATAAAGTAAGATTCAGGCGACACGCTGCAGGTATAAACATGGTTTGGAATGCACTGATCCATTCTGAGATGCTGCTGTTGTTTTGCTTCCATAATATTTCCTCTTTAGGCTGATGAAGCGAATCATCGGTACATTGAGTACGAATCTACTTCCCAACAAACAAATCTAGTGTTTTTTCTTTACTATTGTCAGTTGTGTCTGCAGATTTCTCCTAAATTCACCAAAAGCAATGATCAGATTGTGCTTCATTTGGATATTTAAACATAACAATTCAGAGAACGGGTAATACAATAAATACGTAACGTAATGTAAGTAAGGAAGTGGGGAAGTTTCACGGGGATATGTATTAGATTAGTCGTCCAGCCTGCTCCCCTCAATTGTCCTCAACATTTTTGTAATTTTACTTTAAAAGCTGTTTTCGCAAAAAAGTTCCAGATCCAGAAATCTCCACTTCAGCTCTTACATCCGCCAAATGTTTCATTCCTTTCTATATCCTGCAGGTGTTTGTCATTCAGTCTGATTCTCGGGAACATTTTATTACGATAAACGGTTTTTTTTTTATAGATGTTACAGTATTTTCTGATTTACTGAGTGAAATCAAGGGGACATCCTTTAACACAGTTATTTAATAAACATATTTATTAACGCCTCATGAACAGAACATTTCAGAAAACTAGTAATGCACGGAAATAATCCCCTCAACAGTTTCCTGGTGTTATCTGCCCACCTGCACGTGTCCCTTTAAAATGGAAGACTTTCGAATGGACGGAACTCCCGGTTTGTCAGCCGTGTGATTTGTGGACGGGCTTTGAATTACACGTCCGCCCGCGTTTGTGTGTGTTTACGTCTTGGGAGCTGCACCGATTGTTTGTAGGTGTGTTTGTCGTCGCGGACCACTCTCCCATTTCTTTGGGTGCGTCTCTGCGATCTTGTCTTTGGCCGCTCGCTGTGTATTTGTTATGTCTGGAATGTGTAATAATGTGGAACTCGATCGTGGCTCATCATCAAAAGCACTCAGGGGGTCGTCCCGCTATCGGGAACAACGCCGGACAAACGGAGCAGAATTGGGCTTTAGTTTCTTTGTGTATCCGACTGTCTCAGAGCAGCAGCTTATTTCCTCTCATTTCTTATTGATCAACAGTCTGTGTGTCATGAACCCTCTGCTTATCAAAAAGACATTACATTGGTGACCCGCCCCGGATGGCAGATATGCAACAGATCCTTATTAACTGCTCCGGCTATCACACGCCTTATCAAACAATGCAGCTCCGATGGATTTAGGATGAACGCAATCAACACGGCCCTATTGTGTGGTTATTGCTCAACGCGGCCGTAGTCATTGCATAGAATAGATAAGCATCGATCAAGGTGTTTCTGTGGGAACGAGTTGTTGGTCAAGTGGAAAGAAGCAATGAAACCCATCAGGTGCAGGGAAGTAAAGTTTGTGGGTCTTTTGATGATTAAATCTTAATATGTATATATATATATATATATCTAGAGAGAGAGAGAGACAGAGATACCTAGATATCTATATATCTAGATAGATGTATAGATATCTATATATAAACAAAAGCAGAAAGCTCTAGTTAACGGTTGTTTTCATTATCGAATAAATCTGCCAACTATTTGCTATATTTTTTTATTTGAGAAATAACCTAAATTAATAATCGATTATGTGTTTTTAGTAGGGCTGTGAATAGATAAAAAAATGAACTAGTTAATCAAACATTTTGAAATGAATTAATCAAGATGATTATTATTACTTAATTATCTTACAAGTGATGAGTAATCACTTTAGAAAACGTGTATTTCAGACAGTTGTTTAATTGTTAGCGTTATTTGAACTAGCGACTCTTCCTGTCGTCCTCGTGCACTTTGCTCTCAGCGCTCCGTCATTTAACGGCTGTGTTTGAAGAGCCGACGATGTCCCCACACTCAGCAGGACGCTGTCAATCCCCGGCCTTTCAGGGACACAGTGGTTGTCCTCTGCAGACTGTGTGCCGCGCAGGGTAACGTTAGGGGTTGAGATGGAAGTAGCCTAGCGGCTAGCTCAGCGTAGTGGTCCGTTTGCCGCTCACCCGCCTTCTGTTTGACACGCGGAGTGATTCCTTCGCTGTTTGTTTCTTTTACTTCCAATGCAAAAGGCTTTCGCCATCTTGAGCTGCCGTCTTACTCCGACGTTTCTGCGGTCAATTTTGTTTATTTCCGGGCACAGCCGGAAAGCCGAAAGTAAGTTTCGTTAACGGCGTTAAAATATTTTATCGCATTAATCTCACCCACATTAGATTGACGCGATAATCTTAAAAGCCCCAGTTGTTTATTCTAATTATGAGACATCGCTTTTGGAGCAGATCACTAGCCGCGAGCGTAGCGTAGCGACCACCCCCCAAAATATCTAATTACGTTGTTATTATTATTGCTCTTATTGATGTCGCTAGGCAACCACCAACAAGAGCCAGCGTTAACACAAACCGCGACCTGCGTACGGCGCGATATCTGACGGCGCGCGCGAAGTGAACGAAAAACAACATGACTTCTGCTAAACGCTGTTTTCTGTTGCTGATGCTGCGATCGTCATTCCTCATCTCTCTCCCAGAGGATGTGAAATGTGTTCGGAGATCAGATGTTCCCGGGAATGCCGGCATCTGCCGTAAGGTGCGCGTGTTTCGCGGGTCAGACGGCGGCGGCGTTGATAGGGATCGTCAGCGGGGAGGTGGGGGGGAGCCGCGGCGGGTTGGGACCTGAAGGCAGATTCCCGTGGTGATGGTTTATCTGCAAACCCCCCCCCCTTGTTGTCTCAGCCAGACTCGCATTGTGCGCTGTTAGCATTGCGTTCCACTCCGTGCATCCCTTTGAACTTGAAAACTCTGCCACTTACATGTCTTTGGTTTCTTTGCCTCCCACGCGTTTTGATTTATCATTCGTTTGGAGACATGCTTTCTTACTGCAGTGGTGTTCCTCAGTGGTTGTTGTGAAACGTTGTCTTTTGTCCAGAGTTACACGACAGCTGCAGCGGTGAAAGCTGCGGAAATATTAAAAGAGCCGTCGAGGGCGGGAGGGAGTTTCTAATCAAGCGCTGTGGAAAATGCCACACTGCAACAATAACCGCGGATTCTCCCTCATTTGTTCTGGTGGATTGCCGGCCGGTGTCACTCAGCGCAGAGACCTTCTGTGTTTTTCCACTCTCAAATCTACTAACTAGATTTCCATATCTCTCTCTCTCCCTCCTCCGAGGGTCACGCAGCGCTGGCAGATATTGTCCAGGGGCTCGTGTGTAAATAAAAAGACGTCCGTTTGGCCCGAGCGAGCTGGCGAGGCAGCGTTTCTGATGGCATTAGCCCGTAGGAGGACTTGGCCGTGGCTCCCGTGATCAGGGGACACTGAGGTTCACGCGGATGTGCGGACGCGTACGTGCTCATACATATTAAACACGGGCGGGCGCCGTGACACTGCCAACAAACACTTAAAACAGGCTCCCTCTCCATCTCATTTGTGGGATTGTGTTTTCATACGTTTCTCACTTTCCATGAAAAGAATAAAAAGCATCAATGTCTTAATTATTGTCATTCATATGTGTGAGACAACAAACTTCATTTCAAGTTTTGTCCTGAAACATTTTTAGCAAACGTTACTCAAACAGAAGGAAATATTGCATATGAATATAAAAAAAACAATTTCCCTTCAATGTTTCGCAGACTCGTTCTCCCTGGCTGGAGCGCCTCTGGGGGTCTGGAGGAGGATGGAGCGAGGAGGGGACAGTCCCGTCACCCAGGACAGTCCTGAGCGGAGGGGAGGCAGCCCGGACCTCAGCGGCCTCCCGCCTCCGGGGAAGAAGGGCCGGCTGGAGCTCAACGGGAGCCCCACCGGGCCGCGCCCACGCCACAACGGAGCCCCGCCGAGGCCCCTGGGAGGTGAGAGCCGCGAGCTCGATACACACGCGTACGCAAATACAAGACTCAAAAACATCCTCGCACGGATTCAGCGCGCCGACAGAGAGGGTCCTTTCACTCACGTTTGTTTTTCGTGAGTTTTTCCTTCATTCGAGGCTCGGCCTTCGCCCCCGTTCACCCTTTTCCTCTGCAAAGGTCAAAGGGCGCCCAACCAGGGCTGACAGCCACAGCAGCAGAGCGCTCCTGGATGCTCAGCCTCATCCTGGAGCCCGCTGAGGGAACCCGAGCTGGCTCTGCTCGGTTAATATATAAGCCTGGAGGGAACCGTATAATGCGGACTCGCCGAATAAAGCAGATTGCTCCATATAAACAAGATTTATTCAACTCACTCTGGTTTATCGATTCCTGCATTCGATGTGGAAGTTGTGTTGTGTTCATGTGTGTGTGCGTGCAGAAACAGGCAGAAATTATTTCCACACTGTTTGACGGAACCATGTATTTACTCTGCCCTTGTTTCAACACGCGATTTACATGAATGATTTTTATTTTACGCTGAAGGAAACTTTCTAACAAAGCCGCATCAATCTTTAAGGCTGGACCATCACATCCAACGAAAATACTCTAAATATTTCATGCGCAATCTTATATTTATCCTTCAATATTTCTGAAGAAACTCCGGGATCCTTTCTGGAGTAGTAAGACACATTTCTGTGGTTTGACTGACCCGTAAAAGAGGTAAACAAATCAGAGTGGAGCTCATGTTCCACCGCGGTGAGAGGAGGAGAAGAAGAAGAAGAAGCCACGTGATGAAGTGAGATGATGAGTGTTTAAATGTAAAGAAGGAAAGATGTCTGTGTGAGAGAGAGGTCGAGGGAGGGACTGAGGAAGACGATGGGGGAGGAAGGCCTGTAATAATGACGGGATGTCTCTGGAGACAGGAAACTTGACGTGTCTCCTCCAAACCACACTGCTGCCACGAGGAGGGGGCCACACACACACACATTTACACACCAAACGTCACACTCACACCCGACAAAAGCCGCAAGAAAACACACTGCGACACACACACACACACACACACACACACGTCTTATTTCAATGTCCCCGTTCACTCATGTCAGAGGGATCCGCATCAGCCAAACCAGATCACAGGCGCGTGGATCCAAGAGAAGACCGGCCGAGGCGGAGACGCGGGGTCGAGCGAGATAGGGCCAGAAGGGGGGAGAGAGGGGTGAGGTGGGGGGGGTGGGGGTGGTGGCAGTGGAGCGCCGGTCAGAGGGAGCTGCTCCGTGTTGACAGTTATATTTCCCAGTTGGGGGAAATTCACTTACTTGAATTGGCACGGCGCTGCAGTGTGTAATTCACTCCACGAGGGCCCGGAGGACCGGGAGCAGAGTGATTAATGAGGAGGAAATAGGAATATAGGAATTGACTGATTAAAACAACGGGTGGGATGAATCGGGGGTTAAAAACGAGAGGGGAGGGAGGGCGATGCTGCACGCGCCTCTATAAAGGAGCGTGTGTGTGTGTGTTGTGTTGTGTGGTATCCATTGGCGTAGTATTAGTGCTGGGAAGCTGCCTAATGCTCCCCCTCCATCATTTCTTCAGAGAGCTTTTAATTAATTAGTTGACAGGTGGCTCCAAAGCAAAAGCCTTTTAGGAAACAGGTTAATATTGGAAGGGAAGGATTGACTTTAGTGCAGAGACTCAAAAGGATGCCGGGAAATCTGCTACTTCATGCACTTCAAATACTGAGCAGGAAGAGCGAGCGCTTGTTTCGATTCTAGATGTTCAGCTTCTCTATTTTTAGTAATGCAGAACTGAAACGGACGCTAATAAATAAATATTCAATCGTGCAAGTCGAGGTGTCTTGATACGACATTTTGTCCGCTGGTCTCATCCAGCATAACAACCAAAAATAAGCACCATCATTCGTCAATATCGTTTTTAATGTTAAAATGTCAAAGTATAAGTGGATTTATTTGCTAGTAATTTGCGTGCTGCGATTCCGTGGTTAGTGTAACAAAAGCCCAACTTGAAGCTAACTTTCGTTACCTAAACTTGACAAAAAGATCACGTGTTGTTGGCTTTCGTGGGAAAATGCACAAAAAAGGTTTAACTTTTATCGTAATATATCACAGAACGATGAGATCTAAAGTAGAGCAGGATAGTACATTATGATGGAAATAGAATTGACACAACATGATACAACGGATGGATGGCTTGAGAGAGAGAGGGCGGAGCTTTTCACCTCCAGAACGGAGCCCAGAACATCTAGATCTCTGCGTTGGGGAGCTTCAAGAAAATGATGGTTAAATGGTTAATGGTTACTCCAATGGGAACAGATAACACGGTGGTTAAATCGGCACTACGCTCACCACAAAAGGAGCCTTAGTCGTTACAGAAGTTACAGAAAACGAATAACATTTGGGACGAGAGGAGCTCTTCACCTGAGTTGTTCTCAACCACGGCGACGTGTTTGGTCGTTCATGTCACGAGATTGCAGAGACACCTTTCTGATAATAATTGCTTTACACATTCAAAAGTTTTCACCTCCATATAGCGTTGCAGCAAACTGGTTTAAAGAGTCATGCAAATACTGTGGAAGTGGGTCGAGGTGTGTGCGTGCATGAGGATAGAACTTAATGCAAATACTCTTCTGCAGAATCTGGTTTAGTTTTTCAAAAGGCCTGAATTTGCATCTGGGAGGAAGCGTCACAGTATCGTGTTTATTCACATTGCTGTTTATCCACGTTGCTAAATATGTATGTGAACCTGTTATGAATACTCTAATGAAAGCAGCAGTTGGTGTCGGTGCAGGTCCTTTGTATAATTCTTTGCATATCTGTTCGGGGAGCCATTACCCTGATCACCTATCTAATAGGCCGTTGGAATAAATGCCTTGAAATGTCCAGCAGACACTGAACGGCAGGCGGTTCAGCCCTGCTTGGCCGTAGCGTGCTGGTGTAAAAACATTACAGGTTGTAAAAACCTAAAGGAGGAAGCGATCACACGCTCGAATGCGGCCCGCATGCCGCGCGCGATCGCACGCAATAAAAGCCGGACATGACAAAGGATCTTCTTGTTCTTTTCGTCGCGCTCCTCCGCAGGTCTGATGATTCCGGTCTTCTGCGTGGTGGAGCAGTCGGATGGAGGCATGCAGACGGACGCATGCGAGGGAAGGGAGGAGCACGCGGAGTTCGTGCTGGTCAGGAAGGATATTCTCTTCTCTCAGCTGGTGGAGACGGCCCTGCTGGCCCTCGGCTACTCCCACAGCTCGGCGGCTCAAGCTCACGGTCAGTCACCCCACCTCCACCCCCACCCCCACACACACCCAACGCCGGCGCCGCCACGTCGGCTGCGTTCTCTACATATTCTGAGAGAAACCTCACATCCAGGTGTTGTAACAAGGCGTGAGCCATTTTGAAAGCCAAGGCCTACATTTGTAATTAAGATTCAAGCGACCTTTTTGAAACAGGGGTCATGCTAATGCCGCTACCGCTACGCGCTCCTCAACGACTGAACAACTGAAGAGCGCATCCAGCATTCAGAGTTTCTCCTGAGTCCAAACCTTTCTCTGTGCGTAGAAATCGGACCCTTCGTCCTTAAAGAAAGAGTAAGGAAAAAACATTTGGACAGGCTGTCCGTGTGCTAGAGTCTGATGGAGATACTCACACCACGCTCGCACACTAAATACGAAGCTGTGGCCAACAGGTGGTTAGCTTAGCTTAGCATAAAGACTGGAAGAAACGAGTGAAGAACCTGCTTGCTAGCTGCAGCAAAAACACAAAAAACAAAACAACTGCGTTTGCCGGCATTATAATTCAAACAGCCAAATATCTGAGGTTCGCGCTGCCTCTTTTTGTTAGTACGAAGGGCATCAAGACCATTATTAATAGCCATGATTTTCCATCGTTGTCCAACCGAGTGTCTCTCACTGCGTAAACCATGAGGCCACTGACTCAGATTTAAATACCGTGCAGCTTAGGGGTCGAGACCAGAGCGAGGAGGCCGTGCCTCTAATCATCGTCCTGAGAGGGAAACGGGATGTGAGGTCGTCTATTCGCAGCAGACGCTGTGCTGTTACGCTCGGCAACAAGAGTGTTTCAAAAACACGCACAAGACGCAGACGGAGCTTGCAAAACGCATTAAAGACACAACAAAGCGCCGCACAGGAATGTCTACGCGAGACAAAAATGACATCGCGTGTGTGGGGACAGCGTGTGAGAATGCCGATGCAAAAACACATGGTAGTGATCTGCAACAGTGACGTTTACTGCCGTCTTCTTCTCAAGTATGCGGAAAATGCCACCTGGGGAAGTCGCCTCGCGTCGGTGAAAAAAACCCATAGACGTGCGAACTAAGCCTGCAGACCCATCAGAATGTAGATGATCATTTTCTCTCCTTCTCCGAGCCGTTTATTAGCCACACGTCCCCCAACAGTTCGGCCCGCTGAAGAGGAACGGCGCCCGACTGCGACGTCACAGCGTCCCGGCACGTTCAACCTCCGCACGCCTGTTTGCCGTCTTTGTTAAGTTACTCGTGAATGAAAAAGCTCGCTGAATGCAAATTATGCAAACGTGCTCTCGTTTGAGTCCACGTCCCGTCGGAACACGTCGCGGATTCGTTTTTCTTTGTCAAATCCAGAGCTGCGATTGACAGCCCGTTAACGTGAGACACATAAACAACACGCCCACGCGCATTATTCCAGAGCGATGGCCGTACATTACTCACTAAATTGTGCGGCGGGGTTGTTTGTTACGGCTTGCAGATGAACGCCATTAGTCCCACTTTTAGCCTCAGTGTCTTTGCCAAGTATCAGGGGAGGTCCCCCTCTGTCTGTCTCATCAGTGCGTACATGGAAAGCAGCCACGTCGGTCCCCCTGTCCACATCAATGCACCGCGCCCGGCTTCAAAGGCGAGACCGAAGGGGACATCGCGGCTCGATGCAAACAAAGTGCTGAGGGTTGACTCGAGCATTGTTCAGAGTGTGTGTGTGTGTGTGTGTGCACGAGACGCGGACACACACAGCAGTGTTCCCAGGCGCTCTTCGGGGAGCACTGTGTATTTGCGCAGTATCACAGACAAACACTTCCTCCCCCGACTTTTCTCAAATGAATACTTTTTTGTTTTTTAAAACAAGCCTTTATGTTAAATGAATAATTTCTGGCTTAAATTATACATTTTTTCCCCCTGCGGTCCACGACCAAAATTACACAGCGTTCCAGCTATTTTCTCCCTGTTTGAATTGTGTCCTGCATTCTTGTCTCCCAACGGTGTATTTAAAGTCCCCGCCGGGGACCACGGCCTTTCTTTAATTAGCTTGCCCCAGTAATTAACTGGGAGATATTGTTTATTTCGATTATAAGGGTCTGAAGGCTTTTATAGAACGGATGGGAGCAGACCTGTACTTTAGGGCTTTAGCCAACGGTCAGTCGGAGAGACATTGTTGCAGTGCCACGTCTCAAAGGCCGCAAAGGGTCACTGCTGCTGATCAAGTCGGCCACTCATTTGATTCCCACGATTCCACCGGCCTGTGCTGTTTGAAGCACCGTCTTTGCCTTTCATGTTTATTGATGAGGAAATCTGTCGCACAGGCTTTTGAAAGGGGGTTCAAATCGACCAGCACCAACACCATCCCTGCAGCCCAAACCTCCTTCCCCGTCAGCAAAGGGAAGCAGTGAGCGAGTGCGTGTATCCGTCGGCCCCCTGCAGCAGACATTCATGCATGTTTGGTGTTATCCCCGTCTTTGGGAGTGGGGAGTTTCAACCTTTTTATGTCCCATTGCCGGGAGACGAGTGTGCTTTGGTTGAGTTTTTCCAGAGGAAGCAGGGCCAGTGGACAGTGGAAATGTTACACGGCTTCCTGTGTTTATATGTGCAACGTATTAAAAGCAGAGTTGGTGATTGATGGAACGGTGTAGATATTAAGGCTTTGGAGGAGTTTGAAGGAAAAAACCGGAGTCTCTTAGCTTTAAGAAGAGAAAATTCATTATTTTGTCACGTTGGAACAATTAGCATTTTTTAATTTAAAATTTATTGACCACAACTGGAGAGTCATTCCGTCCGTGTAATAAATGCACGTTGTAACCTTTCCTATTAAAAACTAAAACCAGATGTTTGTGGGTGTTAGTCAGGTTTATTTAGGGCATAAGAGGTGTGATTGGGCCAGTTCCAAATATAGTCTTTTCTTTTTAAATTAAAAAGGATACATTGAATCATATTGGCCCCAAATTTGACCGACCTTCATTTTCAAACAACTTCCACCATTTTATAATGAAGCTCCCTGTGATCATTGGAGGGAAAACAGCCTATCGTGTGGGAAATTAGGAGAAGATACTGTCGACCAAGCTCAAACAGATTGGATTGACAGCAGTAAAAGAGGCGCGTTCCCTTTCTTTAAGCGTGTTTTGGTCCCCGGTTTGATTACCTGTTGTTGTGGTGCGTCACACTTTATCGCTGTGACGTCTCTGCGTTCGCGCATCTCGGCACCCGGCCACGACTTCCTCATTTTAAAACAAACAGTAAAGTTATAAAAGTTACAAATGTCATTTACCAAAGTTTACTAACCGGTCATCGAGTCTCAGGAATGGATTTCCCTCCGGGTGCTCCGGGCTCAGAGGAGCGCCGGCGGCCTTCAAAATAAAAACACAGCCCGGTTTTTCCTTTTCAGAACAGGGGTCCGTCGGGTTGGGGTCAGGTGTACAGGGTTTCCCTCGCCGTGTGCCAGGGAGCCGGGAGCTGGAACCAGTTTGGAAGCAGCATGCGTCTGCAGCGACCGACAAAAACCTGCACGGCACAACGGGATTACTTGTGTGTGTGTGTGTGTGTGTGTGTGTGTGCGTGCAGGCCCGTGCGAGTCGGTGAGAGCCGTCGGAGTGTGTGTTTGCGTGCACGCGTCTGCGTTTGTGCGGATGGGCACACGCAGACATGAGCCAAGCCACCAGCCGGCCACATGAGAGCTCGTCTCTGGGAGGTGGAATGTTAATGTGGAAACGGGGACAATGATTTCTACTTTTAAAATGTGGACGAGAAGCAGAGCCCATTGAACATCAGAGCAAACTAAAAAATGATGGATCAATTATTAATGCATTTACCATCACACTGTGAGCGCGCGTGTGTGTGTGTGTGTGTGTGTGTGTGTGTGCGAGGGGATACGTGTACATGTCCACTTCTCTGTGCGCTGTCATGAGTTTGTGTTTGCCTGCTCATTCACGCGTTTGATTCCCCCCCACTTGGCATTAGCAAAATTGTTATGTCTTATTTTCAGATGCTGGAGAAGAAGTGTCTTTGTGTGTGTGTCTGTGTGTGTCTGTGTGTGTGTGCGTGTTTAAAAGACAGAACAAATGAGAAAAACAAAGAGAGGAGAACGTGCTCAGGGTTTTGTTCTCCGTCATAAAATGATCTGAGCATTTTCTTCCATCTCTTTAAAATGAATTTCATGACGTCGTCCCAGGACACGCAGACTCTGTCACGTGTGCAGTATTTTTATTCCTGACAAACACACACATAAATATACGTAAAATAGTGTTTTAAATTAGATCTTTCTAATGAAATTGATGCATTTAGATCACATTTACATACCAGTTATTACCGTTTTCTTGTACCTTGTGAGACGTGTTGTTTCTGAAACCTGTGTACATCTTTCACATGTTAGGTCACGCTACATGTGTGATTCATACGTACTCTTGTCATATAAATACAAAGTTTGTGTGCTTAGGCACTTTGTTTAGAAAAAGGTTCCATATAAATAAAGTTTTTACTGGGTATATACCCTAAAAAATAGGGTTCTTTTACCTAAAAGAGCTATTCTTTGTGCAGATCTGCTCCCCGGCCCGAAGGGTCCAGCTCCATTCGGCTCATGGTGGATTAAATAATGCTCCCTCTGCAGATAATGAGGAACACAGCTCGGCCCGATGGGAGTCAGAGATAGAACCGAGGGGTAAACACAGTGGAAGAGAGATCAGAGCGGCCCGACGAGGGGGAGGAGAGGGAGATATGACAGGGGAGGGAGCAGGAACGAGGGGACAGAGAGAGACTCCTCGGCACCCGTCTGGATCTCGTTTGGAGGACGGTAATGCGATTAGCTTTGTTTAGTTTTCACAGCTCCGGCCCGTCCGCATGAAGCTCCTCTGCGACCGTGAGCAGAATGTCTATGCTTCACCCCCCCCCCCCCCCCCCAAATTCTGCTCCAAGAAACTCCACGAAAGAAATTCCCATGTGACGACACTGCAGAATCCAAACGCACACTAACCCTAAAACCTCCCTGTGAGTCTATCAGATCTCCTCCAAAAGGCAGCAAATCACCACCGTTCACTGTTGGTTTCGCTCAAACTACTGAAGCTTATTTGTTTTTTTTACTGAAGCTGCCGCGCTGATTTGAACTGGAACAGCTCGACTTCACCAACTCACAATAATTTCCAAATAATTTGAGGCTGCGATATACAGTAAGGGTCCGACGAGCTCGCGAGGGGCTAGTTAATAGAATATTGTATATATCCTTTCTTTTTTTTATACTTTCTTTCATTGTGCTCCGTCATAATTGTGCTGTTTTTACCGTATTGTGGCCTAAATATCACATCCAACTTCAATCGCTTTCATTTCTTAAAAACAAAATACACCCGGCAAATGCAGAACAAATGCTTAGTTTTCACTGAACTTCTCAAATTGAAATTATTTTTTTAAAAACTGTTGTAATCCATATTTTGCCTGTTTTTTTTCCCCTCATGAGTCGACGCATCACACCGATTCACGCTGTATCGCACAATATCGTAAATCGTTCAGATTACGCCATGAGGAATGTCTCTCGTCACACAGGCATCATCAAGGTGGGGCGGTGGAACCCGCTGCCCGTCCACTTCCTGACGGACGCGCCGGAAGCCACGGTCGCCGACATGCTGATGGAGGTCTACCACATGGTCACGCTGCGCATCCAGCTGCACAGGTCCGACGGAGCCCTCGGTCACGCCTCACAGATCAACGCGCCAGATTTTCCAGAGGAATTTTAGAGTGTGGCAATAAGCAGAGAAGAATTTACCGAATCTATCCGATTGTAAAGCAGAAACATTAAAACAAACCCGGTGGAGATTCATCTTTTATCTGCCGGGAACCTGCAGCTGCGGGATGCCGATGGATAAAGCGGTTTATTATCGTTGTTTGTTTGTCTTGGAACGTACCAACCAGGTTTGTTTACGTGCGTATCCATGGCGATGGCAGAGACTTTGGCAGACGAAATGCTCCATTTGAGGTTGAAGTAAATAGATCAGCCGGACCAAACGGGAAGTGGCGGTTAGGGGTTGAGGTCGGGCGTAGGATGTAGGAAGGGTTTATTCTCGGGGTTTATTCACGATTAAACTTATATATTAGGGCATATATTGATATATTAAACATATCGCTCATGTTGATTTAGCTTAGCTTAGCATGGAGACGGCAAAAAACATGTTGTGGTTCAGCTTTGTGGCTGAATGTTGGACTATTTCATGGTCCGGAGAAGTTGCCAAGCAACCAGAGGACACTCCAGGAAGTCACAAGCCAAAAGATGGAAATGATAAATCATAAGGACACGGAATTGTGTTATATTTCAAAGAGAAATAGAGGAGAGTACAAAACGGTTTAACCTTTGGACCTCGTGAAAAAACGAGCTGTTTTCAGTCTTCATGCTAGGCTAAGCTATCGGGCTCCTCGCGTTATCGCCACGGTCAGGAGTCGTCCTCGTCCTCTTGTGACCCACAGACCCATTGGAGGTGTAACGGTGTGCTGTTGTGTCGTTGTGTCCCGTGGCAGTTTCTCGAAGCTGGAGGATCTGCCCTGCGAACAGTGGAACCACGCGACGGTGCGCAACGCTCTCAAAGAGCTGCTGAAGGAAATGAACCAGAGCACTCTGGCCAAAGAGTGTCCTCTGTCCCAGGTAACAGCTGCACGCGGCCGCACAACGACACCCGCGGCCTCGACCCGAAGCCACGGCCCATCCGTTCAATGACCCCCCGTGTCGACTATCAGTCGCTTCCACTTATTAGAACGTGGCAGCGATCGTACATTTCAGCGATTATTGTTACATTTTATTCAAACCTACAAAAGCAACTTCTCTTCAATAATCTCGCGGCATCAATGCCAAGCACATGTGTGTGCGGCGTGAGATTCCCGCTCCCCCCCCCCCCCCCCGCGCTGCACTGGCTGGAGTTTCCACGGGCGGCTTCCAATCGTGATTAATGTGCTTCCATTTGAGTTGTGTGTTTATGCGAGCGGGCCGCGAGGTTGTTGCGTGAGTGCAGGCGTTTCATATGGTGTTGGTGATTAATTATCTTTACGCCTCTCTCCTGCTCTCGCAGAGTATGATTTCCTCCATAGTGAACAGTTCCTACTACGCCAACGTCTCCACCGCCAAATGCCAGGAGTTTGGTCGTTGGTACAAGAAGTTTAAGAAAATCAAAGGTGAGCTTTCTTTCGGTGCTCTCACAGCTGACGTGGGTGACAAGATATGATGGGAAGAAAAGGTTGAGATAATAAAATAATATTACGGTGCAAATCCCAAAATAAATTCAATGGCAGGCTACTTTCTTTTTGGGTTAATTAAATGCTGTTAAAGAAACACCGAGAGGTCACAGAGTTCACAAGAAATTTATTTTAATATTTAAGACAGACAGATTCACTGCATCTCAAGATTGAGATAATTAAAAGGGAAAACTACACATTGCAGTAGCGCCAATCTGACACTCCATTTACCGAGGAGCAAAAGAATTCAAATTTTGAGATCACCGTGATCATGGAAGACGACAGTCTGTGATTGATGCGCTTGCCGATGGATAACGTTGATACTGGTGAATATGATCAATATCTACTGCTGAGATATTCTGCATACATGACGGTTGAAGGAAGAGAGAGAGAAACTGTCAGAGGGGAAGCTCCGCCCCCTCTGATGGAAGAACATAGGACCTTGTGTTGGAAAAAAATTGATTGATTGGCCGTTAAACCTGTCTATCAGAGCTAGAGGCAACGGTGTAACACGTGATAAATCCAGACTAGCTTTTCCTGTTATTAGTTTCAGTATTTCTTTTTGGAATGTCATAGTTTTTACTTTCTACAGACTTTTCTTCTGTCTTATTATATTTCATGTGATATATCATATTTATATATATATATAAATATATATATATATATTGGCTTTAAAGTTGCGCTTCGGTTGCCATAAACATCATCGGGGCTCTCTGACCGGCTCCCTGCGTGTGTTTCGTTGAGCAGTAGATTACCTGGAGAAGATGTGGTCCGGACGAGATGCTGCCGACATCAAAAGTAAGTCGCCGCATCTCACCCGGCGCCGCGCTCCTCTAACGGCGTTCGCTCCGCCGCGCTCACCCGTCTCGTCTCCTCTCCAGTAGAGAGAGACAACATGGCGGACTTCTGCGTGCTGGGCCAGAGACCTCCTCCCCCTCACCTGCCCGGCCTTTCCCAGCTCGCTCACCTGGGAGGCGGCGGCCCCCTCCTCAAGGCGGGTTCCGGGGACCCGCAGGCGCCCTCCCAGCAGCCGCCGCCGCCGCCGCAGCAGCCTCCCCCGCCCCAGCAACAGCCCTCGCCCCACGGCCCCCACCACCACAGCCCTCCCCTCCGCACGGGCCAGGGGCCTCCTCCTCCGCCGCCGCCGCCGCCGCCCGGCTCCATGCAGCCCCTGCTGGGCCCCGGCGGGCTGCTCTCCCCTCAACTCTCCCCGCAGCTGGTGCGCCAGCAGCTCGCCATGGCCCACCTCATCAACCAGCAGCTGGCCGTAAGCCGCCTGCTGGCCCATCAGCACCCACAGGCCATCAACCAGCAGTTCCTCAACCACCCGCCAATCCCTCGGGGTTCGTCCAAAGCCGGCGGCGGCGAGCATCCCGGGAACAACCCGTCGGCCGCCGAGGTCTCCTGCGAAATCTACCAGCAGGTCAGAGACGAGCTGAAGAGAGCTAGTGTCTCCCAGGCCGTGTTCGCCCGTGTGGCTTTCAACCGCACACAGGTAGGAAAACAGGACAGACTGTGGTCAAGAAAAGTTAGGAGACGCTCTGGAAAGTGTAAATGATCAGAGGCAGAGGAGACAGGCGTAGATCGACCTGCGGGTCTCGATAGCTCTTAGCGACAGCTTACAGGCACCGACTTCTCACGCGGCGTTTGTCACCCACCTGGCGGTGTTTTCAGGGGGATTAGCGGAAGCGATGCAGGGTAGCGCGTCGGGTCACTGCGTCCCCCCCGCCCCGCCCCCGCCCCCGCAGCGGCACAGGCACCTGATGCATTCAGGCCGCGCTGCGCCGGTTAGCGCGCGGCCCATTAGACCGGTGTAATGGAGGCGGCTCATAGACTGTCGGTGTAGAGGCCAGGTGTGTTTTTGCATGCGTGTGTGGGTATAAGTGTGCGTGTTGGTGTGAGCATCCAACCCGTGTGCTAATAATGTTTATCTGAGGTTCATCGTTTTCAGCTTTAAGAACTGCTGAAAATAGGAAGGACATCTACCTTTACTTACCCTACATAGGTTATTATGTTCTGATCCACAATAAGGGAAAGACTGAACGCCGTACTTGTATTTGACATCTTATGTTTCTTTACAGGTCACAAAATAAGCTTATTAGATAGATATTAGATAAGAAAGGTGTTTTGTTATTGTTTCAAATGACAGTGAATTAATCGACAAGTGCATTTCCTGCTTTTTCTTTAATCTATTGTAGCTGTTTTGAATGTCTTTTGTCATGATTTTGAAGTTTGGTGTCATTGTGAAGGTCACTTTGGCCAATTTTTTTTATAAACCAATAATCGATGAAGAATGAACGCAGCATATTAACCCATATAGAAATGACTTTTACATGAATGCAGTGAAGTAGGATAATGATATAATATGTCATAGTATAAGGGGTCATATTTCTGCTTAACCTGTTCAGAATATTATTCTTATTATACTTTAAAACAACAGACAATGATAATTGTCTTTGAAAGACTTTTAGTGTAATGATGACATCATGCATCTAAGCTCATAAACATTCATTAACAATCAGCAACAACTGCAAACACATCTGTTGGTTTGTGAGTCTGTAACGAAGGCGTTAGTGCGTGAATGTGTCTCCGTGCGTGTCCTCCCTGTCCAGGGGCTGCTGTCGGAGATCCTGCGGAAGGAGGAGGACCCTCGCACGGCCTCGCAGTCTCTGCTGGTGAATCTGAAAGCCATGCAGAACTTCCTCAACCTGGCCGAGAGCGAGAGGGACCGGATCTACCAGGAGGAGCGGGAGCGCACCATGAACCCGTCAGTGGGGCTGCCCGCCTCCAACTCCTCCAACCCCGGCCCGCCGCGCCTCCCACAGGTCGGTCTGCCGCTCCACTCCGAATACTTTCAAATGTAGGAATGTTTCTAATTATGGGGTGGAAGTGTAATCATTGCGATCTGATTGTGTGTGTGTGTGTGTGTGTGTGTGCATAGAAAGTGTGGGAGAGGGGCCTGGATGACCAGATAACCCCCGATACCTGGGCCTCCATCTGGAAGAACAAGACTAAGATCTCCAACTCGGTGAGTGATCCGCCACCGTCAACTCTCGCCTCCCACGAAAACCTCGAGCGCTCCCGTTTGTGATGAAAAAAGGCTCTTTCAGTTCCGTCGGCGGAGCGCGTCGTAAACATATAGGACATTATGCGCTGTTTGGACGTTCTTTTGCACGTGCACGAAACTATTCTGCGATAAGACGCCCCCCCCCCCCTGATGTCAGCGCAGATGACCACCCGACCATTTGTCGGCTATTCTTATTATGTCTATGTAAAATAATCTCAGCCTTGTTTACGCTGAGGGAATGTAAGCCGGCCCGTCTGCACACGTCGCCGCTTCAAACGCGGCGCGCACGAGCTCTCCGAGAGCCGACGCGTGTTCGCTCAGACGGAAACAACGAAGAGAGACGCGCGAGCAGGACGTAATGACTTTGATCTGTAAACAGGATTCGTGTGGAGACGTGCGTAGCAGATGTGCGGGCGCGGGAAGCACGTCTGGCCCCGTCAGCTGACACGTTTGCATTGCTACTCTCAATATCCACGAGTCAATCCACAACTTCCTGTCATCGCCGTTTACCTGATCGGAACCCCCCCCCCTCCCTCTCTCTCCAGCCCAAGCCGCCGGGCCCGACCTCTGACCTCCCGCTGAAGCTGGAGTCGCTGGTCAACATCACGTCGGGCATCTACGACGAAATCCAGCAGGAGATGAAGAGAGCCAAAGTGTCTCAAGCTCTGTTCGCCAAGGTGGCGGCCAACAAGAGCCAGGTGAGGGGAGCACTGTTATGGGGGACGGGGGGCGGGGGGCTCAAACCACAAAACGGTGTTCTTTCGCAGCCAAAACACACTTCTGCGGATAGCGAAGCTGGAGCGCTGCCACGTTGTGCACATCAGTCGGGGCGAGGAGCTCTGGATCGGTGTTTTTTTGCAGGAGCCGTTGAATGAAGGCGCTTTTCTTCTTTTAAAAAAAATTAAAAATTCTATAGAAATAATACGAACTATACTTTTCTTCTGGGTAACATTTTTTTTACATTTTTTTACATTTTTCAATCCTCTGCGAGCCAGATATATTTTGTATATTGTGAGCTCAATATAAACCATTACGGTTCTTCTCCCTTCCTGAGAGGGTTGTAAAGTGTCTCCATTGGATAACTGTATATCCCGATCCAGCTGTGGGTCCCTAAAAACTGGTTATTTTAAGAATGGCACCATGCGGCCTCTCTCCTCTGCTGCTTTAAAACAAATTAAAACACTTAATGGTTCCAAACACTCTTGGACTCTATGGATGTGGTCCATTCTATCGCGTGGCCTTGAGTCCCGGGGGGGGGTAAGCGTGAGATGCGGAGGCACGTATGCATCGTGTGTACGGCACACACACGCGTGTGCTGGTTTGTGTGCACTCGGCGAGGTTCCCCCGGGGTCGGCGGGTCTGGGGGTGGCTGAGGGTCACGGCTCAGTGCACCCATCTGCTGCAGCTGGCCAGAAGGACGGAGCGGGAGGAAGAGGGAGATGATCGGGCTATTAGCGGTGCATGCTGCCCGAGGTGGCTGGTTGAACACGACAGCTGGTGTCACAAACTGAACCAGTCTAGCAGATATAATTGAATCCCCCCCCTCGCCCCCGCCTTCCCCTCCTGCACTTACCTTGCACACTCTGCACATTTCTAACTTACAACTCTATTGCTAAATATCTTCCTGCACGCTGACGTTTCTCTGTATATCTTTATATTGTAATTTCTCCTCCCTCCCGTGGTCTTCGTCATCCTTCCTCCTTTTAACCAGTGTCACTGCCAGTAGCTGAGAGGCGCTGATTCTTTGGCTGCACAGCTGGAGGACATTAACACAATGGTTCGTAAAACAGAAATACAAGGGTGGTTAGCGTGAAGACTGGAAATATAGGAAACTCTCGGTGAATCACCGGCAGCAGAGAGAAGTCCAAAAAGTAGATCTCTCTAATGCAACAAGAAGTCTGTGAGAAAATGATTCATGAACATGAGTTTATGGTCTCGATCTCCAGTCTTCTTCAATACAGCATCATGTTCATTTAGTAAGTCAATGATCCATTTGGAGTAAAACAGACCATAAAGCAGGGAGTGCCTCAGGGCGGGGCTTACTGTGATTGACAGGATGTTACAGCACCATTCCTGAGCAGTCCAAATACACGCACTTTTGTTCACTTTTTGCAACAAAAAAAAAGAAAGACGGCAGCCGGAATCCCAGAGAGCGGCGGTGAAAATACTGAACTCGAGGCTCCAGAACCGCAGTCCACAAACCAAAAACCAATGGATTAAAGTGTCCCTCTCCCTCCTCGTCTGTGTCTAACCCCCACCTTCCGTCTCCAGGGCTGGCTGTGTGAGCTGCTCCGGTGGAAGGAGAACCCGAGCCCGGAGAACCGCACCCTGTGGGAGAACTTGTGCACCATCCGGAGGTTTCTGACGCTGCCGCAGACCGACAGAGACCTCTCGTACGAGGAGGAGTCCAGACACCATCACTCGGAGAGGATGCACACCGTCCTCCACCTGCCGCAGGACGCGCAGGTAAGGACCAGATGTGTCCTCGTGCGCCTCATGTGTCCAAGTCCAGGCGTTTGTAACACCTGGCTTCAAAATGCACGTCCGGCTCTCGCATTGGAAACAGATTTCCTGCACACGTCACCCCAGCTCACAATGTTTACATCCGCTGAAATTGGCCGTAAACACCGTTTCTCACTTCCCCACCATGTACGAGTATCCTGGGCACTTATTCTTACCAGATCTCCTTGGTAGTCAATTCGCCATTTTGAGACAAGCCAAAGCCAAATAACAAAAGAAGCGCTGCAGCGGGTGATTCGCCACGTCGGCTGGTCATTTTCCTCTTTACTGGTATCCTAGCAACTGGTTCCAGTAAAGTTGTAGTTCCCGTCAAGTGCTGATTAGAAACCAGATACGATGTTTGTGTCGTGTGTGTGTGTGTGTGTGTGTGTGTGTGTGTGTGTGTGTGTGTGTGTGTGTGTGTGTGTGTGTCCCAGTGGACGGAAGAGTAAAGGGTGTCTGTTATCTGCTATTAAGTAGAAGACAAGATGAAGTTCAGGTCACTGTATTTGGATGATTGGAGGTTTTATGCACACGGCCCCAATTTCAGGGTTAAAAACTATGCTGATCAGATTAAAATAAAATGTCTGTTTTTTTATTTAATAACTGTGAACGACTGTGAACGCGCTCACTGACACTTTAGGCCTCGAATGCACGCGCTGCACAAATCCCGTCTATAGCATTTCTATGACTCTTTCATTACACGTTTATGACAGACAGGTCAGACAAACTGAATGCAGTTGTTGCTCAAACACACCAGTTAGAGCCCTCGTCCGCCCCAATGCACAGCTATTATATCTCACATATGGCACACACACCATGCGCCATTAATCAAAAACAGGCTTTGCATTTAGCATTTTACCACGAATGCTATGGTGCCCATCCTCCAGCTCCGCCTCCAGCTCCAGCTCCGCCTCCAGCTCCGCCTCCGAGCCCATCCTTTCCTCTCTCTGCATTCAGGACTCCGATAAAGTCCTATAAAGGCCGATGGGAAGACTGGGAGGAAGCGGTGGTGGCTCCACAAGCACATTCCTCTGCTCCTCTCACGCAGCAACGACTCAAAATACAGTACACCCTCAAAACCACCATGCTGTAACCCCCCCCCAACAAACACCGCCCCCCACCACCCACCACCCACCTCCAGAGACCGACTGTGGTGAAATACTGGTGATTTATTAATGGGAAATGAGGTGTGTTGCTGTCTTCAGACTCCCACCCGCTCCCCTCCGCCGCCTCCCCCACCCACCCCCCCCTCCCCCCCAATCAAACGGCGCGACCAAGACTCAGGCTCCAGCAGGCCTGCCACCACAGATCACACGTTTGTCCCATCCGCCACACGTTTTCGCCCGCGCTGACAGTTGGTAGCGTGAGGACCCCCTTCGCGTTGTGGACGACGAGACGTCACGTGACAAAAAAAAAAAAATCAACGAACGTGAGCGTTTTGCCAGCGCACCTGGGGAGCTCGCTGACTGTGTGTCTTATCAAGTGTGCAGGTGTGTGCGTGTCTTGCGTGTGTGTACATCGGCCCCGCTGCTCGCCCCACAGCCCTTCGTTCATACGGCTTCAGCGGTTAAGTGCGTCCCACGGCTAATTTGGCAGAGTCTGCCCTTATAAATAATTTCTTTATTGTTTTTGCTAAATTGATTTCTGCTGCAAGTCAAGGGGTTGTTTATGTGTGTGTGTGTGTGTGTGTGTGTGTGTACATGACCGCTCACCGAGGCTGAGACCCCTTGAGTGGTGGACTAGAACAAGACGTGAAAACAACTGCCTCCTCCTCCCTCCTCCTCCACCTCCTCCTCCTCCTCCTCCTCCTGGTCCTCCTCCTCTTATTTGTGTCTCACTTCAATCAAAAGGTGCTTCACCGGCATCACAAAGCAAAAGCGTTTAACGTCGAAGGAGCAACAAATTGCTCCCGTCATCACCTGCGAGATGCTCGGCTCTCTTCAGGTGTGAGTCACACTTCCACAAAGACACAGAGGTCCATGTAGTTTTTTATTTATTTAAATGTTTTCATAGTAACATAGAGGTTTAAGAGAGACCATCATTATGTATTAACACCGTATGTTTTGTTATAATTAGCTAATAATGCCATAGAACCGTATGGGGGGGAAAACACGTCACTTCTTTTTGCTTTTTTAACGAAATCCGCTCTGAAGTCCCTCGTCTGCAGTTGGACGTCAGCGTAGCACTCTTGTTGGTTTCGGTCGTTCTGTTGGGATTCGTTAATAATGAGAAACATTTAGAATACTGGCAGACTTTGAGGGTTACGTCATTAGAAATGTGATCCAAAACAGAGCAAAGCCCCGCTGATTAACTAAAGGCGGAGAGAAAACACGACAGAACTTCATGTTCTTCTGCCATAAACAAACGGGGACACAATAACATTAAAACCCAGATCAGACGGGTTTTACAATGGAAGGAAAGGTTGTGCAAGCGCACCATTGAATGGTTCAATGGAATCATTAATTATCAATAGGAAGACGGATTGTCGGTCACAAAGTATGAAGTTCGTCCTCATTGTGACGGTCAATCATTTGCTGCTATTTCCCAGAGAAATATTCATTTAACATTTGGGGAGTTCTTCAGTGCTGCGATTTGTTAATATCCATTCATTCACTTCTGAGAGGAAGCAGCCGAGACGGAGACAGACAGACGGAGACGGACAGAAGTAGAGACATTTGCTCGAACACGAGTGAGACGGAGAAAGAGAAAATAAGAAAAAACACAGATTAACAAGAAATGTGAAGTCATGCACAAAACTAACAGAAAAGTGATTTTTCCTTCATTACATATTTATCTGTGTGTTAATGGCGTCTCTGGTGGTCATAGACTCCCCCCCCCCCCCCCCCCCCCCACACACACACAGACATTTGGGGGCCCTGGAGGACCAGCGCTCATCAAGGAGAAGATGAATATTTCACGTTCTATAATTCTTTCATAGTTTTCAGTCATAATTTGCCTTGATTTACGTTTAAAAAGAAAACTCTTCATTTTGCTGCAGTGCACTCAGAGAGAGAGAGAGAGAGAGAGAGAGAGAGAGAGAGAGAGAGAGACCTTCGATGGGGCGGCGGAAGTCCTACAGGTCCTTTTGGATGACAGTGATTATTTCTTTTGGTTATTTACTCTCTGAGGAGGCGGTCGGGACAGTCACGTTTTCTCCGTATTTGTCAGCAGGTTGCAAGTCTCCCTTCCATGACATTTCACCTGCGTTTTGTGCTCCACAAAGACAGTAACCACAGTCAGTGCTTCCCGTGACAACGTATAGAAAGCGTTTTTAGCTATTTAGGCAGCGTTAATGCACCAAAATCCACCCACGGATTGATTTTCTAGAATCAAATTGCCGCTTATTCTGAAGAAATCACAAAATAAAGTTTCGCTTTAACTAAATCCAGTTTTGTAAATCAGTTCACAGCAGATATTGTTAGTTAGAGAAGGGAGGAGGTCAAAGAGCTAAGTAGATACAGGAGGTGGAGGCAGGGGGCTGAAGGCGTAGAAGGCCGGGAGCTGCAAACGGGAGGAGGCAGCACTGAGAAGGAGGTGGGGGGGGAGACGGAGGAGGCGGGAGATCCTGGCATCCACCGGTCCAGAGCTGATTTGGATGCGGAGTCATTTTGGCTTGGCAGAGGCCCACTTCATTAGGGTCCTGGTGCATTAGACCCGGGGGGGAGGGAAGGCGGAGAGGGGAGGGAGCAGGGAGGGAGGGGAACGCACAGAACAAGAGGAGGCAAAAGACACCAAACAGACGAAGAAACCTCGGGGCAAAAGGAGAGTGTGAGCGGAGGAAAAGAAGATGGAGACGCGCCGCCGACCGGCCTCGTGCGTTTGCCTCTGCTCGCCAACATCATCATTAGTGCATGAGGGAGACCAGACTCCCCATTGTTGCATGCGTGTGTGTGTGTGTGTGTGTGTGTGTGTCTGTGTGTGATCCAAGAGTCCCCGCCGCCGGCCCACATAAGCATGGAAACTACAAGGTCTGTGGGTGGAGGTGGGGAGACGCTGGGTTTTTGCCATCCCCTCCATTATTTACCCTCAATTTAGTTATTAAGCATCTCTGTGAGTTTGTACGGGGCTGCTTGTGGCTGTGTGGTCCCCGTTCGGGACGAGGGTGCACTTTTTATTTATTTACTTCCGTCTCAATGTCTTTGTTGTTGCTTTTTCCGGCATTCTTAGTCTTTCTCAATATGTGAAAAGGTCAGTTTGTGTGAAAAAAAACAAACCCAGAATAAATGGGGGAGGGAGAGAGAAGAAATGACAAAAAAAAAAGGGAAAAACACACAGAATTCCTGTAAATTGGTCCCCCCCCCACCCCCCCTCACTCCTGAAGCGAATGAAATCGCAGCAATTTCATGGTCTGGCCTGCCCTGCAGTATTATTTAAGTAATACCCTGTTATTATTGAAGAGCAGGGAGAGAAAAGCGAATGACTATTATCTTTATGTGGGTCCTTTAATTTTAATGCGCCACAGATTTATAGCTGGGCATTCCAGCGGGGAGGCCCCTCCCTGCTCTTAAAGAGAGCGGGCGGGACACGACCGCAACGCTCTCACAACAGGCTCTACCTTCTGACAAACAAGCCCAAGGGCCCCCGCTTCCCTCCCAACACTTCACCCCGTTGAAGGACGGCCTTCACGCCGTCCGCGACAGAAAGTCGACGCGGGCTCTTTACGAAGGAATTGCTAAAAGTCAATATTTTTTGAGTGTAAACATTGAAGGACGCAAATAACAACAAGTAATAATTTCACAATGTTCAATTATACATCTTTCGCCCGTGGATGATTCTAAAGTGTCTAAACAAACACAAACATGCTGGCTGGAGTTCCTCAAGGATCGATTCTAGAGCCTTTTCTGTTCAAACTAAAACATGTTACCGGTAGCACAAAATAGTTCCTTCTAACTAAGCAGATGATACTCGAATATACTGAGGGTTCGGATGCACATTTTTTGTTCACTGTTTAGCAAAGCTTAAAAATCTCTTTTTGTATCTTTGCACCTGATTTATGGAACAAACTTCAGTGAAAATATTAGCAATAAAATGCTAAATAAGGGTGAAAAACTTTGAATGAATTTGCAAATATTAATGCAACTTTTTGATTTTTTTTCTTCAAGAGGACGAAGGCATTTCTAGAATAACACTGTTGCAATCTTGCAAAAGTTTTGATTTAGTATTTAAACAATTTAGGTGATCCGGGCAACTTTTCCTCTCTAAATTTAGCATTCCTCAGCAGATCTGAGCCAAAACGATCGCAGTCCTCTGGCCTCTGTCCCTCTGCTCTCGGTCCCTCCGAGGTGTTTGGGCTGGTTAAGTAGTGATGATCGGGGGTCAAGTTTTTAAATGAGAGACTTTCTGGCAGGCGGGTGGTCTTGCGTTTTACTGGCACGACTCTTCCACACGTCGGGTCAAAGGTATAACTGCAGCAGGTTGATAGACCTTGACGCTCTGTGAGCTGTGAACCACTCGTTCTCGCTGTGTGCAGCCCTGGCTACTGTGTGCCGGAGAGGTTACTGGTGGGATGTGTTGCATCATACAAAGTCCACTGCAGATTATGCTCCGAAACACAAATGCATTCTACGAGATTCAGGTAGAACGAGTTGAAAATCCTGGTTTTAAATGAATCGGTCTTGATCAGGGGTCACTGTGCCCCGTTAATCGATCAGCTCTTCTGCTTTTCTCGCCAGGCGCACCACAGGCCGCCCCCGACCCCGATGAAGGAGCCCCGGCTGTCTCCGATGCGCGAGGAGCGGTCGTCGTCCGCCCCGGCGAGTGAGGAGGCGTCTCAGGGCGCGGGCACGGGGGCCGCGGGCGGCGGCGCCGGCGGTCCGCCCGGCGCCGGCGGCGGGAGCAACAAGAAGCCGCGATCGCGCACTAAGGTGCGTCGCGTTGTTCCACTCCGCTCTGGTCACCAGCGACCCCGAAAGGGGTGGTTCTTGTAGTTCAGCTGGTTTCTATGGTTGCAGATCTCCCTGGAGGCCCTGGGCATCCTGCAGAGCTTCATCCAGGACGTCGGCCTGTACCCGGACCAGGAGGCCATCCACACCCTGTCGGCGCAGCTCGACCTGCCCAAGCACACCATCATCAAGTTCTTCCAGAACCAGCGCTACCACGTCAAGCACCACGGCCGCCTCACGGAGCTGGGCGAGGGAGCCGCCGCCAGCGGGGGCGTGGACGTCAGCGAGTACAGAGAAGAGGAGCTGCTCTCGGGCTCCGAGGACCCGGAGTCCAGCGAGGACGGAACCGAGGAGATCTACCCGTCGGCGGAGGGGAACGGCGCGAGCGCACCGGGGGCTAACCAGCACCCGGCCTCCAACTCGGGCCCGTCGTCCTCGGGGAGCAACGTCGCCCAGGAGGAAGGCAAGGACAAGGGGCACGGCCGGCCCGGCGGCCCCCTGGGGCCCGGAAGCTCCTCCTCCAGTCCCAGAGAGCAGGCCGACTACCAGAGGTAGAGACTCGCACGAGAGAGAGAGAGAAAGAGAGAGAGGGAGGGAAGAGAAAATGAATCGAGGCGACGGTCAGGAAACCATCAGGCTGAAAACACTTTACATCACAAGACGGACCCTTAAATAGTGAAAGACATCTGTGAACGCTTGATGTGCGGAGTGAAATTACCTCAGCAGAAAAGACGGTTGTGTAACTGTGAACGAAAGTTTTCCTCCCGAAAAAAACATTTCAACCATCCGCCCCCAAATGCTCTCCTTCAACGCGGTATTCCATTGCTGCCATTCCTCCAACTTACATACACAGAAGCGCCATGTGTCTCCCGATCAGCTGATCGATCCCATATGGTTGAAGCTGGGGGGTGGGGGGGGCTTTTTGAGAGCTCTACAATCCTATAAATCCTCAGGATGCCCACTGACGTTGCCTCCTCCGAGAAGAGAAATGACCAGCACCACCCGGCGCCGACCTCGACGTCCCTCTCCAGCATCACCACCAGTCGGATAGAGCACTTGCTGTTCACCAAGACACTGATGTTTCGGGGGTGTGATGTACTCTCCCCCCCCCCCCCCCCCCACCTCCCCCTCCTCTCGAAGCGGACTAAAACAGAGGGCGACGTGGACTCACGGCCTTCCCGGCGTACGGGGAAGGGCCGGACGGAGCGGCGGAGGACCGGCCAGCGGACAGCCGGTCACTTTACGCGCGGCGGTCCGGCCCTCTTCCACTCTCCCTCTCCTCTCTCCCCCCTTTTCTCCCCACTTTAATTGTCGCCCACAGTCTTGTGTTTCACCACACCTACCGGCACTTAAACTTCACCAACCCTATTTATTGCTATCTTTATCCATGATTATTATTATCATTATTGTTATTATTGTTGTTATTATGGTCAGATTCGCTGTCATCGCGGGCTATTTTTAGTTTTTATTTCCGCGGGGTTTAAATATCGGTGTTTGGAGCCGGGCGGTGGTTTTGGTCAGAGCGCTCTGCCCCGAAGGAAGAAAAGCCGCGGTGAGTGACAGAAAATCAAAACGAAGCAGTTACTGAGTGTTACTAGTGCTGTCATGTTATTTTGCCCTTTTTATAGTTCTGTAGCTCAAAAATACTAAATGAGAGAAATAACTGAATAAGAAAGAAGAACTCTTGTATTTGACTTGTTGATGACAATCTACTTTTTTGAGCCTTTATGGAAACGTGGCAGGTTGGTTCTTCACCTTTGATGTTTGTAAATACCCGACCTGGGACGAATTGTTATTGATATACTTTTATTTTTTGCAGAGTGACTTTAAGTGTTTGAGCCAGTTTGAAGTATCGGATTTTTTTGTTGTTGTTGTTTCCATTCCTTTGGACAACTCTGTTAATTTCATTGTTCCAGGAAAATTCAATCACAGGAGTATTTAAAAGAATTCAAACTGTTTTTTAAATGTTTTTTTTTTTTTGTTGCTTGGTGTCAGTTGTGTACAAGTATGTTGATAAAGAATATATATATATCGGAGAACGGATAGTGTCCACGTTGTTTGACTATCCTGATCGTCTGCCTTTTAATCATGACGTTGACTCCAATCACTCCGTGTGACGATATTGTGTTTTTCTGTACAGGAATCAGGGTTTGCACACAAATGCAGTTCCAATGAAATATTAGTTCATCCAGCGTTGACGTGAATTAAAAATTGTGAATTCAAAAAGTTGTCTTGTTTTTATTTAGAAAATATTATAATACCTTTTTATGGTTCTTAAAAAGAAACACACACATTGTAACCGGGACAAACAAATCTATCAAAGAGTAATTTATTCAGAAACAAAAAAAGGGAAATATATGTATATTATATTATATAAAATTCCTTGTAGAAAGTAGCGCCAATAAGCAGCGCATTGAATCTAGAACTTCTTTCCATAGAAGATTTGAATAGTTTTATTTTAGTGAATTTGAGTTCCCTCGGTAAAGTTACACTGTAATATTTTATCAATGGCTTTTATTGTGAAAGGTAAATCCGAATGAAGTGAAAGTAAATGAAGTGAAGTAAAATAAAGTGTGCGTCTTGGTCAGAACCGTTGTGTAGTCGTTGTAATGGCCCGGCTGCACAACTCAACACTTTTATTCGCAGTACAAAAAAAAAATCAACTGCAAAGCAGGTACATCCAGTTTTATTGACGTTTTGAGAAATATAGTAAAATGAGAATTAAAACCCCTTTTTTAGGCAACGCCCTTAATTCTGCTATTGAAAAAAAACGGACAAATTATACATTTTGTTTCAACAGTTTCAGCACAATAGTTTGACCTTTGACCTAGCATGTCACGACCTCTTTCTCTTCTGCATTTTCTATATCAACTAAGTATATCGATAAGTAACAGAAAAACAGTCTAGTTTAGTATTAAGCAAAGCTTACTTAAAACAAATCTGCATTTTGACGGAGACTTATTTCCAGCTGCAGATTCGTCGTGTCACGCAGTGTTTGCAGCATCTGGACAGAGTGCGAGCATTTTAAGCTACAGTGTGTGTTCATTGTTGTAATGAATAAACATGTCACGCAATATCGTGGCTTATTTATGAGATTTTTACAGATTTTAAAGCACACAGGGATGAAATTAAGCTGATTTTACAAAACAACAGCAGTGTCTACTAGTTTTGGTTCTTATCGTATTAAAAGTCACCGGGCGTGTCCTTTAAACTAAGAAACGTAACCCTTCTCCACAGCGTGGTTCCCATGAAGATGGACTTTGACTGTTTCTTGCTGTGGGTCCTGGGTTAATAATAACTTGTAGAACGTAAGGACATGGCCATGAATGATATGTGGTGTTGTCCTGTCTTGTCGCTTCAGAAGGTTTTATTCACTCAGCATGAACAAACCTCTTAGTCCCGTAGAGGTGCGCTGGCATCACAGCGGCTTTTAAGTTAGTATTTTATCTATATTGAGCAGAAAACTGGTTTGCACCGTTTTCCGCCCTGCATGAAAAAACGTTGTATTTCTCGTTGGTCTTTGTCACAACGGCGGCAAAACATTAGTCGCCGATGTGAGACCTTCCACAGGTAAACATGTCACAATCCTGTCTATGAATATTACTACTATAGGATACATGTAGGCGTCTTATAACGCTCACTCTGTGCCTGCCAGCAGGGGGCGACTCTTCCAGTTGCAAAAAGTCATTTATAAAAGCATATTAGAAAATGACTCTACATCTCGAGTTTCAATACGGCGCAATATTAATTTAGTAAATTAATCAAATAGACCAGGAGGCAGGCCGTGCTGTAGGGCGGGGCTACGTTGTGATTGACATGCCACTCCGCGTCAAAAACAACATGGCTGATTTCGTGTTGACCACTTCTCCTTCTTGTACAATGCACACGCTTGTACCTCAAACAACACGCGCGCCGCTCCATCGTCTACCGGACCCCTGAGACCACTCAGGTCTCTCTGGCTGCAGACACGACTGAGTCAATCAGGAAGCAGGTAACGTCCCTCAAATCAACAAGTCAGAGGAGCTCATCCGACAGGCAGGACAATCAGCTTGCAAAGGCAATTGTCTCTAAATAGTGTCCACTCTGATGAGGGGGGGGGCAGAACCATTTGGGTGTTTAACCTGCCACTAGGGGTTGGGTCAATCATTGTGTGTGTGTGTGTGTGTGTGTGTGTGTTGGACTCCTTCAGTCAACAATAGAGCCTGAGTGTTGGTGATGAGCTGGAGCCTCCAGGTCTTTTCCTGAAGAGCCACTTTCCACTCGGCCCGTAGGACTGAAGACAATCAGCTCACGCTGCGGCTCTCTGGGATAATTACACCTGCTGAGCGTCACTGATGTCTCCTCATACCCCCCCGACTCCCCCCTCCCGACATCCCCCCCTCCCCCGAGAAGTAGCCCGTCTGCCCGTCTCCCCCCCCGCTGCAGGGACGAAGCCGGCGAACAGAAACCTGTCGTCTCGTTCTCCCCTCCTCTCTCCTGCGTGAGTCACTCCTCTGTGGGAGTTTATGTTTAGACGTCCAACCTCAGAGTGACTCGTCCCGCGGCGTTCAAAGGCTTCCAGACTCCTTCAGAGCGCCTGGTCTCTCTGAACAATGTTGTGCATTGTGTATAAACTTGAATAGGGTTTGGTTTGAGGGGGGAGGGGGTTTAACTGCGTGGCCACAGGAACCAAATATTGCTTCATTTGTACATTTGTGCAATCAAAGGGAAAAAAAGGGGTGGAAATAAATACTGCCCGAGAGGCCGTCTTGGACGGAATTTACTGGAAATTGCGGATGACAATGCAGCCTCGTGTGTTTATGTAGTGAAATAATACAGTTTAAAATAACTACTGTCCAAGACGGGGCGCTGTGGATGTTTCAGGGAATGAAACAGAAAAATCTCCGACGGGCCTTTGCTTGGGTCAACCAGCAAGTGTCTGAATTCTCAAACAAATCCGCCTCAAAGTGAGTAAAGGGGAATATTGCGCGAGATAAAGCTGATAAGTGGCCAACAAGCCTCTGAATGGATATTTTATTCAAACCCGAGGGGGGAAATTGTGTTACTAGGGCGTCTCCATGGACGTCTCCAGGAAATGAAAGTCAATCTGATGAACAACGTCTTCCTTCCATTGGTCCAAAGTCTTCGGTTTAAAACCGAACAACACATTTTATGTGTTTCAACTATTTGATCAAAATGGAAATATTTCTCGCATAAATATCCAGCAAACAGACGAACAAAGTTCTGATTGAGAGGTTATTTCCTCACGGTGAGGACATTTGTTCCTGTAATATTATTAGTGGGTTGTGATGCCAAAATGAATATTTGATCTATAAATGTGTCTGTGAGAAAAGGGCAACTATTTCTACTCATGTTGCTTCCTGTGTGTTTTCTGTGAGCCTTGTTAGTACTTGACAGGATTCTATGAGTTTACTACTTACATTCATATTTTTTGCTTTGCTTTTGTTGTTGTTTTTGTAGGGTAAATAATGCATGGCAGTAATCTTCAAATGTATAACCTGTTTTCAGATTTGTTGAGGGACCACAAATGAAAAATAAGCTCCTATTCTAACTGAAGCATATACAGGAATGTTTTATTAATGTGCACTGTCCCTACCAGATAAAATAGGGCACTGTTTTTTTGTATAAATACAAATATTACTTTATTAAATGATAATTAAACATGCATTCAAATTTAATATTGCAGCCAAATAACATCATTTATTTTAATTTACCATTTATCTGAATCTGAAAAGTAACCGATGTTATTACATAACTAACTAAAACAATATTAAATTGAACAGTATACAGTATATTGATATGGAGGTGACAGGTTCCACCAGCAGAGAACCGAAGTACCTCTGAGCTCAGGAAATAAAGTCATTTGTTTTATTTATTTTGTGTATTTCAGATTGTGAGATGGACGTGGATGGACTCTGTTGCCTGATTAGAATCTGGGGAGTGAGCTCCATCACACTGTCTTCTCCCCCCATCGCATCCCCGCCCCCCCCCCAAAAATAAGGCCCAGTGGGTCCGGAAATACACCCCATACAAAACCGCCTGCAGGTTTGCGGGGACCACATTGGGTTTTATATAGGACACTCATTTCCCCTCTGCCTCTCACCCCACCCCCAAATTCTCAAATGAACACATTAAGCCACATTTTTATGCTATTAACCCCTCCCGCCTCGGGTCCTGCAGAGCTGGTAGTCATTAGTAGGCGGGATTCGTGACGGAGCGCCGTGGGTAGCGAGGCCCAAAACTCTCTCTCTCCCTCTCTCCCAACCACACGTGCCACGAAGCGCCAACAAGTGCTCCCCCCCCTCCCCCAGCGTCACACGGCGGGTCCGTCAGGAGTTGGACGGGACTCAGGTCTGCCCGGGTTCGACGCGGCGGGGGACCACCCACCGCTCCGTGGTCGCGGATAGCATCCGTCTCGGGCGATGACGGCTTCCCGGAAGTCACCGGGCACCGCTAATTTGAACGATTTACCATCGTGGAGGCCCGCGGAGCTCTGGAGGCCCGCGGAGCTCTGGAGGCCCGCGGAGCTCTGGAGGCCCGCGGAGGCCGCCCGCCCCCGGGGCGAGCGTCGCGTGCGCCGCCACTTCATCCGGGTCGCAAGGCAGCGGTGAACCCGTCGCAACCGACGGTCACACATTTCTGCCATTGTTTTGGTTTCGGGGCGAATGTTGAAGAGGTCGACTGGCGTCATCGTCCTCCAGAACGATGCGCGTCGCTCGTACAAACGTTTCTATTATTAATGTGTTTGTGTGAACGGTGGAACAAATGACATCAGAAGTGGTTTTATTGTAGGGACGAACCTACAGGGACAACACTTAACATTTTAAGCAGACGACACTTGTAATAAGATCTTTATGGCCAACTATATTATCACGATATGCTACACACAGTGATATTTTATACTGTACTGTCACTATTTACCACATTTTAAGATATACTAAACTGCGATATGTTTCTGACACGTAATACATCATTACTTTCTATTGCATGCTGTACGGTACCTTTTATGACCTTTTATGACATTCTTACGACGTGCTACGTGAAATCATATGGACATCTATACTTTTTTATGACGCAAAACTTGGAAAGCCTTGAAGAGTTGTGTTGCTAAACGATTTGCAGCCCTCCCTTTGTGCACGGAACACCTCGAGTGTGCGTTTCCAGAAGCCCGCAGAACGCCGCTCCGCCAGCGACGTTCGAAGCGGTGAATGCGCCGCCATTTGTTT